CTTTTGTTTATAGTCTATATGTACGGTTTTAGGTGGTGATCCAGATTTCCCAGGTAGTTCTACCTCGGCACTATCTTGCCTTTCCATTGCGTAATTTTTTTGATCATCCATTGGTGAGTCTAGGTTTTTATCTTCTACTGAGGATGTGGCTTGGTCACCTCCAGATCCAGAGACATCTGACGCCACATCTCCGGGGGTGCCGTCAGGAGAAACAGAACCTGTATTATTAGAAGAACTGTTCTTATCATTTAGTTCAAATTTTTGTTTGTAGTCTATGTGTACAGTTTTAGACGGCGATCCAGTTTCTCCGGGTAGTTTTACTTCAGCACTGTCATGTCTGTTCATTGCGTAATTTTGTAGACCACCTATTGGATCTTCAAAGCTTTTGTTCTCTACATCGGATGCTGATGCTGGATTACCGCTTGGACCTAATGAGTCGCTCTCTGTCAACGCGTTTAGTTTAAAGTTTTCTTTATAGTCAATGTGCATGGTTTTCGACGGTGATCCAGATTCTTTTGGTACTTCTACCTCGGCACTGTCGTGCCTTTCCATTTCGTAATTGTGTGCAACGTTGGATGGTGGATCAAGAGATTTTCGTTTTGGTCCAACATTTTTGTAACTACTTTTAATTGACACATTACCAGTTTGAAGTTCTGTTCCAATCTTTGTTTTCTTGGTTGCATTTAAGACTTTGCTTTTCAGAATTTTCTTAGCTTGTTTTTTAAATATTGACTCTGTTTTTTTTGTATGTTTGAATGCTTTGGTTTTGCTAGAAAGATACGTCTGGTTTTGGATATTCTTGTCTACAGATCTACCAATATTATTAGTTACAACTGAATCTTTATTAATACTAGCTACACGACTGCGATTGTATTCTAGTGGCAATGATTTATTAATAGATTTTCTTGTTTTAGATTGGGGCTTATAGTGTTTTATTTTATTTTCATTTTGGGTTTTAATTGATACCTTATTCGTCATTGTTTTATTAATAACCGATCTGCGTTTTGAAATTTTACTAATTGCTTTCTGTGATTTTGACATAATTTTTTTATTTTCAGTTTTATTAGTTGAGATCTTATGATTTTCTTTGTTGCCATTATATTGAAGTCGTATATTGTTATATTTATCAGTTTTTATAGTTTTAGAATTAACATTTATTTGATTGCCAGTGATATTATTACTATGTATTTTACTGGTACTTGAACTTCGAGGTTGTACATTTAGAGGTTCAGATTTCAAAATCATATAGGATGTGGTGGGAATCTTTGGAATCAGTTTTGTGTCGGCAGTAGGACTTATTTTATCGTTAATAGTTTTTTGACTAACTAGCGTTTTTTTTGAAATCTTGCTTATAACAGATTTCTTTGTTCTTTGACGTGCTACTTCGCGAACATTTCGTAATTTCATTTTGTATTTGGAACTATTCCGACGCAAGAATTTAGTTTTTGTAGTGTTTACAAATTTATCGATTTTAGATCTTTCTACTGGTTGCATTGGCGTCTTGTTATTGTTTAACACGGTTCTCGTAATAGTGGAATGGTGTTTTGAGACTTTTTGTTCCGAAAGTGATCTTCCTTTTCTAAGTTTTCGTTTTGGATTTTTACTTCCAAGCTTTTGAATAGCTCTTTTGATTGGCGGGCCTTTTCTTACTTTTTGTTTACTTAGTTGTCTCTTTTGTTTGTTATCAGAGAGGTTATTAAATTTCCAGCCTATTTTGTTACGAGTAGGTAGAACAGTACGCACCGATTTATTTCTTAGTATTCCGTTTCTTTTATCCCGAAGTATTTTCGAAAGCACGAATTTTGCTTTTTTCTCTCTAAGATTACGGTTTATTCGCATTGTTCGTTTTTTTGTTGCCTCTTCCTTATCTTCGGTATCATCTAAGGTACCCTGTTTGGCATTCCTATTGTCATTCACGTCGAAATTTTCATTATATTTAATGTGGAAAGTTTTTGGAACGCCTTCTTTGTTAATTACTACTTCTGCACTATCTACTCTTGACAGGCCATAAGGAAAAACTGGTTTCAACGTGTTTTCAGTAAGTTGTGTATCTATGATGTCATGTGGTTTATCGTCATGATCTTGAGGTGAGTCTTCCTTCCTATCTGGTGGCGAGGTTGGGCTTCCCAAGATGTCACCTAAATCAATAAGAGCGAATTTCTCGCCATACTGTATCTTCATTCGTTTCCTCGGTTTACCAGGTTTACCGGGTATTTCAATTTCTATACTATCTTGTCTATTTGCTGCGTAGTCTGCTTCTTTCTTCGCAGCGTTTTCATCAGCCGAAGGATCGTAATCGTCTCCAGGATCCATGTGAGGGATCAACTTTGGAGCTGTGAAAAATGGACTACAGATAACAAAAATGGTCCGAAATGACATTTTCCAAAAATAACGTTTGGTTGAAATTTCATAACCTCGAAAGTAAATTTGAGAGGAAAATGTTTTTTCTTTTAAATCTAACCTAACCGAACCTAATCGTATCTTTGCGATAAACATTCAACATATCCTGAAAGAACAACTGTTTCGTTATAATTCGGTTTTCGGTGTAATGAAAATTCGAACAAACGTTATTTCGGACAAAAAAAATGTTGGACTTTGTGATAGGTTACCAACAAAAATAAATATTACAATCAACGACTTTCTACAATTCCAGGATAATTTATAACGAACTGTGAATATGATGGTTGTTTGGGAATTCCAAGTAAAGGTACCGATAAAAACTATATTTGTAATGTAAATAGAATGTTGTAAACACCACCTTCGCTAGAAGATTTCCAAAATTTTTTTTTATTTATATGTCAAGCATAAACTCGTATCATTAAGCTCTGTTTTGTAACAAGGAATGTGTCCTTGTTACAAAACAGAGCTTAATGATGACTTTCATCTACTCGGTCTAGGCTAGTGCAAAAAATATCCGCTAACTTGCTCCTCAAATGGTGGGCGCAGCGACCGTGATTGGCCGGCTTCTGTCAGTTGTGGGGGGTCCTGGTGCCCTAAGGAGGCGATCATATGGGGGTGTAGTACGCAGTATGGCAGTATATGCAGGCGAAGGTGCTGGTCGAGGTCTACCAGTACAAGATAGATAGGTCGGCCAGGGGCGAACGTACTGCCCCTCAAGAGGTGAAAGGCAAGCGGCGGATGGCGGCGCTACGAATGCACGACCGCTGGAAAATGAGCCTGACCGATTAGCCTTACGGAGTTCGCACAATAGAGGCGACCCGCCCGGTTCTCGACCAGTGGATTGATAGGAGACATGAGCTCCTAACATATGGGCTTGTGCAGGTACTGTCCAGTCACGGACGTTACTGGCACTACTCGCACAAAATCGCCAGGAGGGAGACCTCAACGTCTTGCCATGAGTGAGGCGACGCGGACGACGCGGCGCAGCATAGCTTATAGAGGTGTGCAATCGCTGGAGTACGCAACGACGCACTCTGGTAGCGACATTGGAGGAGATCTCTTGCTGCCAAACGTGGTATCTGCCATGTTAAGAGACGCGGAATCGTGGGAGGTCTTCTTTTGCGAGGAGGTCATCTCGCAAAAGGAGGCCGCGGACAGGGTACGCGAAGACGTAGTCGATGCGAACCCGCTCTGATGCATTCGACGCGAACCCGCTCTGACGCAGGCGGCGGGAAAGAAGACTAACGCAGTTCGTTGCTCGCCTAATTCCCCAGTGAGGCCAGTGGAAAAGAGACGGGGATCCCTTGCCCGTATTGTACGGTCTCACCAGTTTGGGGGGATGGATCAAGCGTCCGACCCGTCCCCTCTTTATCCGTGTGGTGAATCTACGGGATCCCACGGCGCCCACTACAACCGGCCAAGAGAGTGCGCCGGGGGGTTTTAGTGGGTATGATAATCGTCGGGTCTTCCCGGGCTCGAAGTTATGCATAAAGCATCTCTCCCTCATTAAAAAAAGGCTAATGCAGAAATTTTTAGAAATCTTTGTATAAAATATATATAAAACTTACGCTGTAACAGAAATGCGTTTCTTGGTTTTTGTAGATCAATTAAAAGTAATATTATGTAATATTACACGCACAATCTCGCTATGAAATATATATACTTATACTTACCACAATGAGTGAGTGTCTTGAGCATTGTTATCTGATAATAGAGCATATTTGACATAAGGGAAATAATGTGGTTTTCTAGCAGATGTCTGATATTGGCTATTCGGCGATTTATGGGACCTTCAACTACTAATGACTCTGGTCTGAAAAATAAATGCAATGATATTATTTTTTTAAACTTTCTTATGTATGTTGGAGACAATTGTCTCTACCCACGTAATGTGAAAGAATTCGGTTCATTATTTACGTAATATGCTTTACAAAAGGTTAGATCTTATCTAATATTATTAGAGAAAAATGTTTTACTAGCTATCATAATGATTTCTATTCTATACTATTTTTAAGTTTCTGGCTTCTCCATTGACTTTTGTAAGTCAATGGGCTTCTCTTAAAGAATTTTGCCAATGTCTAAGAGTTACCTACACTTTTAGTGATTTCTTTCTCACACAAACAGTCAGGTCACTTTGATAGTTTAAACTGGGTAAAGTTGCAAAGGAGTTGGCGCTGGTTTTGTATGTATGTATTCAGTTTAATTAGTCTAGAATCTTATTGCAATGTATTGAAAATAAGTGACATAAATAATGATTCTTTTTCGCGACAAAAAAAAACTATTCTGCTAAAGCTGAAATAGCAAAGTTGATCGTTATCAACAATATACAATTATGATTAAAACAAAAAGTTTAGCTCACTTGGGTTGTTCCAAGAAGTCAAATTTGAGGTCAACAAACTCAGGTTCGCTGACAAGAGAGATGTCAAGACTTGCCGTAAGGTCATCAGCTGTTAGGATGAACATGCCATGCATAACTGTAGTTCCTGGCGCTAGAGTTGCGTCATATTTGTATTCTACCTGTAAAAACCACTTTTGTAAACATAGATAAAGTAGTAAGCAAGTGACATCAAGTGTAGACCACTCTACTCTCCATTTGAAAGTTACTTTTAAATATTTATTAATTTATTATATGTAGAAATCGTTTAAAATGACAGAGATTAAATAAACAGGTAAGTAAAAAAGTTTACTATCATATTCTGACCTCAAAAATAATAAATATGTTCTGTTAGTGTAGTATATTTATTTCATTCATATGGTTACTTAAAGATATTACGTACTTGTGAGGTAGTCATGCTTACTAATTATTTACATAAATATATGCACCTAGTATTAGAGAAGGAAAAGTATATTAACTACGCGTAATACAGAAGAAAAGAAAACCATTGAAACAACAGTTGAAACGCCGCGCCGTAAGGCGTCATGTCTATTTGGATGGTCATACTTACTCTATGGTTAAAGCAAATCTCAGCGTTTTGACATAAAGTTGTAGCACTTACTGCAGTCGGCATATTTAAGCATTCTGCGTTCTCGGCTGCTCTGACGAAGGACTTACGTGGACATAGGAGAGAACTACATTTTCTACATAGGTCGCCTCTTACACTAGCTGTCTATATAATTTCCATGGACCGTTCATTGAACGAACAAAAAGTTGTGTCTATCATTGTGATAGATCCCTGTGGGTGCGAGTAGCGCATGTTCTTTACTGGTTCTGCGCTACTGTTTTAGTTTTATATAAAATCTCACCTTTAGGTTGCTGAATCCAATAACAACGTCCACCTTTCGCATCTTGCCATCTGAGTCTTTTCCAGTGGCCACAGATCGGCGATGCATACTGTCTAAACCTCGTACTACACCGTCTCTTAATTTTATTTCCTGGGAATTTTAATCAATTAACTTTTTCAATTTATTTCAGGTTAAACAATAAATAGAAAGTAGGTACTTCGTTGTAAGTAAGCCAACCTTGTGCTGTATTAATATAGCCATATTATTAAAACATTATGTACCATTCCGTTAATCGTGAAAATCTGAAAGTTCGGGATCTTCACATTAGCACATCTGATTTCAAACAGACGTTTCCTCATAGCAGTTATAGATTGGTCTACGAATGTGTTAAGTTCATATGCCTTTTTCACGTCGTATTCTCTGAAAAATTATTACGTGATTAGTTATTCTTCAATGCTAGCACCAACTATTTGTTTACGAGAGACGACGACAACTGAGAGACGTTTCTCCTGGTAGGAACCGAAAGGGTATTATATATTTTATACAAATTATGAAAGCAATTTTAATTACCTGAGGCTACTGTCAGACCCGGCCGGACCTAACTCGAAATATAGCAGGTAATCGTTGAAATAATGCTTTAACCATTTATCCATATCTATTCTTATCTTGTTCACGAATTCCTCTGTTCAATAAATTAATTGTTAATATTTATAATTTTCTAGCGTACCATTATTTAACACAAGAAGCTAGGAAAATCTAAATGACGCTGTTGATGTTTTGTGTTTTTCAACAATCCCTGAGGATGCCTCGTAGAGAGGCGAAATACGGTCGGGCATATTTTTGGTGGTGGTACCTTTTTTGTGACTGTAGTTGCGTTTGTGTTATTTATTTTATATATTTTATGTGAAGAAAGGGCGGAAAAAATTAACTGCATTAAAAAAAATTCAACACAAGCGTAGTTACTTCGCGCGATTTAACCTCCACAGGGTTCGGGTACGTTTATGAATGATTAGTATGAATATTTCTCGCCAACTGTAAAGGCAAATATCGTGATGAAAGCAAGCCAGCATGTCGAAGAAGGTTCACACTTCAGTCGCATTGGATCTGTACGATAGCCTAAACCCTCTCCATGGAGACGAGCCGTGCCTAGCAGTAGAACGTACAATGGGATGATAATAAATTGACAAAATTGTATAATATTTGTTGATATTTGATTTGATATCGTAGTAAGATTGTATAGCTTACCTATGCTCTTCACTTGTAATTTTTCTGGCGTTTGGAGGGTTCCGTTAACTACATACTGTAACATAACGAAAGGATTATTTTCATAAAAGATGAAGTGATATCATATGTCGAGTTCTTAGGATTTCGCAATTGTTATACATAGAAAATGAACTATTTTTCCGGATTTAAATGGCGTATATTTGTTTTTTCAAACGAACCAACGATTCGGGCCCTTTACAGGTCCCATGGTCACGGTTGACTAAGGTGGTAAAGTCATCAATCAGTTACGTCTAATACTAACTTGATGACTTTGTCACCTCATTCACCCGTGACCACCGGACCTGTAAAGGGCCCGAAACGTTGGTTTCCTTGAAAAAACAAATATACGCGATTTAAATCCGGAAAAATAGTTTCATTTCCAAAGTCACATATACCTTTATGGCGAAATGTATATATACACTATTTAAAAGTTATTAACCGACTTAAAAAAAGGAGGGTTCTTAATTCGTCTGTATGGTTTTTTTGTATGTATGTTACGCGATAACTCCGCCATTTGTGAACCAACTTTATTGATTCTTTTTTTGTTGGAAAGAAGGTACCTCAGATGTGGTCCCATTTAAATTTCAAGAAAATATTCCACCTCTAAGGATGGCAAACTAGGGGATGAATGACTTTTGAGATCGGTTTTTTTAACCGGTGGTTAGGTTATTTTACAATTTTCGGTCAATATTAAAATTCCATTTAAAAATTGCAATAATATTCATGCCAATAATTTATCAACAATACTTTAAGGATTGGGAACTCGAACTAAAATTTTCAAAAAATGCTCAAAATAGTTAATAGTATTTATTTATTGACAATTGGCTATATAGCCTATAAAGATAACAAATATTTATTAAGCAGAAAATATAATAAAACTTAAATGAAATTTCTTAAAAATGTAACAAAATCTAAAGTTAGTCACGTTGTAACTTTCTTTGAATTGCTTATTTTTACAGATGAGGCCGCCACTTGCATGGCAAATGGCACGTCATGTTACGATTTTGCTATGAAAGAAAAGGTGAACGGATTTCGAATGGGGAACGTAAACTGCATGGACAGTGAATTGTTTTTGTGAGGTCATATTACGAATTTGACAGACAATCCAACTTACAGGCTTAAATAGGATTGCTCTAAGAGCTCATAGTAGGCCTCTAGGGGATGCTAACGCATTTGAAAAAAAAATTAGAATTACCTATAAACTACACCACAAATATATGTTTTTTTCTTGTGATTTTTTGTGTTAAGTAAATACAAAAAAAAACTGTTTTTTTGTGTGTGTATTTTCAATTACTTGTTGTGGTGGTGGGCGTTGAAAATTTTTTATCTTGCCAAGTGGGCGGTGAGCCAAAAAGTTTGGGCACCTATGCTCTAAACGGTGATGAACTCTGTGCAAAACGCGGGAGTCGTTGGAGAGGACGCTTGCACATTTGAACTTATTACCTTGCTAGCAATGAATACTGATTTCAAAAGTGTCAGATAGGACAAAAAAATATTAAATTTATTTTTGGTAAGTTCAGCAGTGGACGTCTTCCGGCTGATATGATGATGATGATATAGATAGATAAAACTTTATTCACTTTCATGACAACTTATTTACATAGGATCCACTAAAATTTTGTAAAAAGTTGCAACCAAAATTTGTTACATCCTTAGATTATAGAATCGGTGACCAGCATGCAGATTATGACTCATCCCTTACATTCCATAAAATAAATACCTTGAAGGAACGTCGCGAGATCGCTGATGACACGTAGTTGTTTAAAATTTTACAAAACATGGTTGATGCCCCTTTCCTATTGGGACAAATTATTTACGTGTACCTTATAAGCAAGAAAGAACAAGTCGTAAAAAAACACTATTTGCCATTAAACCAAGCAAGTGTGTACATTTTAGAGTTATGTAAATTAGTGAAACAAACACCAGATCTATTCAGAAGAGCAATAGTAGTAAATCCTAGAAGTATAAGGAAACCTGATAGATTGATGCTGAACTATTGGTCACAGACTACATTTTTTCAAAGAAATTGCTATAGCATGGGTGTTAAGATTTTTAATAAAATACCGAATAATTTGAAAGCATTGTCGACAAATCAAATGTGTAAGAACTAGAGAAATGGATTTTGGAAAATTGTTTCTACAGCATCAAAGAACTCTTAGAATATATTTAATAAATTGATAACACTGTACTAGATATTAGTATTAATATTTTAGTGTAACGTAAGTTTAAATTTTTGTAAGCCGACGATCGATAAGATATGCTGCACTAATTATTAACTCATTTGTAAACTTTTTTAACCGTATCTTGTGCAAATAAAAAAATTATTTAATTTCATTAAAACTAACACCATTATGAACCATTTATAATACCAAATTTTATAACACAAGGAACGTATAAGTACTTAAAGTAAAATTTTTTGGAAGTCATGACAGTGAAAACGCGCTGGCTCAGCATAAATGCCGCGGTTTCCCATGACGCTGGTATTCTGCTAGAATCGTGTTTAAAGAGACGCCATTCATCATCTCAGACAGTCCTCTGGCTTTAACATTTTTATTTTATAACCAAAACAATGTGATAAGTCATAAAAATGTGTGTGTGTGTGTGTGTGTGTGTGTGTGTGTGTGTGTGTGTGTGTGCGTGTGTGTGTGTGTGCGTGTGCGCGCGTGTGTGTGTGTTTGTGTGTGTGTGTGTGCGTGTGGGTTTGTGCGCGCGCGCGTGTTTGTGTATGTGTGTGCGTACGTGCGTTTATATCAATACTTTATGGTACAAGATAGTTATAACCAAATTTCAAAATAGAGATAGAGATTTCACAATTACAGTCACAGACCATATAAAGTGGTTACAGTAAACGTAAACGTGGACAAATACATATCATATCAAAAAAAAATAAAAAATAATAATAAGTTTATTATGTTCTGTCGTAAGTCACGGAATAAAAGTTGTTGTTTACGATATTAGCAATCTAGTCCTGCAAGGTTGTTAGTATTTTAAAAATAATCCTGTATATATGGCATAGTATTGTAATAAATTAAGTATCTTACGTTCATTAAGGCTTCCGGTACATGAATATTCGAAATAATGTTCTCGACCATAAGCTTGTTTTGTACCAAACGGTATCGACCCTCCATCTGATATTGCACATTTCTTAGAAGAAATCTGTAACAAACCACAGAGATGAACTAATTAGAAACAAGAGTTCACTTACTAACTATTCGATACATAATGGATTTTATTTCATTTCATTTATTTAGTTCAACTTTATTGCACATAAAATAGTACGAATGGCGGACTTAATGCCATTAGGCATTCTCTACCAGTTAACCGGGGAGCAGAGTTCAGAAAAAATAAGAAGGTTGCGTAATATGACAAATAAAAACAGATAGAATCAAAGTTTATAACTAATTATAATACATCATGTAATACATGACTAAACTACGTATAAACAATCTATATACACACTTATATATAACAATAATAACGCACACACTCTACATAGCCCCGAACTAGGGAAACCCTGTATCACGAGTGCCTTGGACACACACATAGACAACCACAAATTACACCCAAACTCACAAGAGAAATAAATGTAGGCCACACAAATATTTCTCCCGGCCTGGGAATCGAACCTGGTACTTCTGGTTTAGTAACCATTCGGCCACGGAGCCAGTTATTATTTGTGTACATACAATGCATACACAAATAATATATATAAATGTTAGACTAAAGGGATGCAGATTGAGACTCCAACATAAAACTGCGGTCTAATTGCTTGAAACATTGCTTATTCTGCACTTATCAATAGCTACGACCAATATCTGGTAGACAAATTGAATACAGAAATATAATTTAAACAATATGGTATAGGAAATGAAACTATTTTTTCTGAAACAAATTGCGTATATATTTTTTTCAAACAAACCAGTCAGCCGGTCAGTCAACCGTGACCATGGGAACTGTAAAGGGCCCGAAACCTTGGTTTGTTTGAAAAAAAAACAAATATGCGTCATTTAGAGCCGAAAAAATTGTTTCATTTCCTATGTGTAATAATCGCGAAGAAAACCTAAGAACTATAAATATGGTATTAACATGATACTAACATGATATTGCCAAATGTGGGCCTGTAGAAAAGATTTGAAGGGTCCTTGTCGGTGATAGCACGTTCGTAGGAACCGGACAGGTGCAAGTCGTTGAGTGCAAGCCGAGCTGTTATAATCATTTTATCAACGTCTGTGTGCAAATAATTCAGTCGGAAAAATGTGTCATTGCGCAACTTCAGTCGATGGAAAAACCTGAAATACATTTTACATTCACGAGTCAACATAAAAAAGTTACCTATCTCCATTGTTAATGACCTCACCTAGAATAAAATAGAATACAAATAATTTATTGCGTAAAAAATCACAGCATGGTACACGCGATATATAACTACAACACATAACACTTTGCGACTACAACACGAGACCTAAAACAAGTTCTTCTTCTTATCGTGTCATTACTTCTTTTATTTTATTTTTACATATAACAAAATAAAGAAATAGTATGTGTGCGATGTGCTGTTACGGAATCTGCCATCCGTTCAGCTTATTATCGTCTCATTGAAAGTGCTACGACACTGATTTTCAGTGGATCCGATAAATACACGTTGCAGGTTATTCCATGACGCAAACAAAGCTCAGTGTGAATTTCAGAAAGTCGTGTAATTGATACTTATATTTATACCCTTGGATTCCCTTCGGGGTAGGCCGGAGACTACCGCCTATTAGCATGATTTTTTTTATTAGACCATAATGACGGAACGAGCAAGTCGCTCACCTTGTGGTAACCGACACGTCTGTCCACAATAGTTGCAGTACGACTCAGTGCTTAAAATCACAAAGATCGAAGGGGCACTGCCACTACGCCCGTCGCCCTGAGACGTACCCCATAGGCCTGTAATTAAACATAAACAACCCTGGCAAACCTCTCTCTTCACTTATATTCGTCACTCTTTCATACAAACTATCTTATTCTTCTTACTATGCAATCCAGTGTTCTTTAGAACTGGATTTCTGGCTGTTCTCCTAATGTAAGTATAATTAATGTGGTAAGATAAGAATTAGGTAATTATATAAATGCGTGATCAAAATGTTGTAACATCAAAACGTCGCGTAACTGCATGATATCACGTTTAGCGACATGGTGTCTACTGTGGTCGGTGAAGTTAGATGGTCGCATTAATTTATATTATTAGTGTGGCAATTAGCAATGAGGGGTTCATGGTCTCGGATTACCTAAGTGGGAGACGTGGTAGTATACGATACGTATATATTTAAAAGTGAAGGACAAGAAAATTTGCTTACAGTACAGAATCCTGCATTCTCATCATGCAGAAACCACCAAGGTTCAGGCCAGAAGGTATTCTATTCGCTTCGGCTCCTGCTTTAACGTACACTTTGCCCGATGCTCCTTGACTTTGTATCATAACCTATAAAGAAAATTTCGACTTATTTATATATAAAAATTAGGTACTTGTAATTATTTTTTTAGAATTAATGAGAGACTAGTTGGAAGGACACTAGCCTCCTGTGATTACGTGCTACACAGTTTCTGGGTTCGATTCCCACAACGCAGAGCCTTTTCGGATAATGCGCGGTTAAATTTTGTAATTGTTTTACTTTAATAGTAAAAGAAAACACCACCTGCATGTCGGAAAAGTTTCATGTAGTAATTCAAAGAGATTTTGTGCGAAATTCTAAACCCGCAATGGGCCAGTGGTCCACTCTTTCTTTATACGACACTCGCGCAGTGGCGTGGTGAACAGTGAACATGACATGCAACACTACACGAACTAATGTACTATCATACGCTTAGGTGACGGCAATGGCAGGCAACCTTATATTTTATACCAAATAAAATTCCTCACGGTGTGTGATTCCTATTGAGGACATAATCTTTAATGCGAATTTATCTCAACAAAGCAGAATCGCAAAAATGTATTTATAAACCAGGTAAGTAGTAGGTTCTAAGCACTATATACAGGTAGTAAGTACCTTATACTTACGAGGTGATAGTGTAACTTACTTTGTACATTTCTCTATCGAAGTCGTTTAAAGCCAGGGCTTGAGAAAGTTTCTTTCTAACATTTGCATATTGCTCTGAAAATAAAAAGAGGAGATTTGGTAGTGGACTATAAAGTCAACGGGTAAGTGACCATGCCTGCAGTTCAAGTACCTATCTGGAAAATAGGGTGGTGTACGTGCACCCGGGCAGCTCACCCAAGGCTGATCTGAGAAGGTCCCTGTGCTTGCACAAGATATAGTGCCCTTCTCGTATTAACCAAGAGTCAGTAGTGAGGGTCATTATAGTCAAAACTTATGTAGAAAGGAACGGGCTGCTCTGAAAATATATGAAAGGTAAATAATTCATCATTTTATTTTAATGAAAGTTATATCAAGAATTGAAAGAAGCCTGTCAAATAGTGTGCCCGGCGAGCAAGCCGCTCTGCTACGTTTGTATGGAGGTACAATATTTGTATTATACTATGGTAAGGAGCTATAATCCTTATGGAACATCTATAGTGCAAGGGTTCTTCTACCGCTTCTGCTTAGCCACGAACGCAAAGGAGAGGGCAGGATAAGGCGGTGGAGGTGGTGGTTTCCTTCCAGAGTTGCCTTTCGGAGTCTAAGCTCATGTATTGATTACAATATTAATATTTCAGCATATAAGATGAGTCCGAAAGAAAGTCCGTGCCCAGAAGATAGCAAAGTTCGTTAAACAAAGACAGCAAATCGAAACTTATGGATTGGTTATTTACGGTCTAACGCATTCATCGTGTTGAAATGTTTCGCACTGCCGAGCTTCATCCAACATTTTCCATTTTTTGTATCTGAAATATAGATTATAACGTTCTTTATTATTACATAAGTTTTTCTTACGAATAACGTGTTTTTTAGTTGTTACAATTCCAATGAGCAAGTGGCTTTTTTTAAAATTTTAAATTATGTTTATTACACCACGTAAAAGTAATTTTAATCTACTTTTGTAGTATTACATTTCTTAAGTGCCTAAGTAGGTATATGAATTTGTAGGACACGTTCACGATAATCAACTGAACAACTGACTTATAAATTCAAATTATAATATCGTTACAACCACAAATTACACCCAAACTTATGAGATAAATATACTTACAGGCCAGCATGGTAACTGTTCGGCCACGAAAGCAGTTATAGGCTTTGCAGATATATGCAGGTTTCCTCACGATATTTTCCTTCACCGAATGCTCATGGTAATTTAAAATTAATTATACCGAAAAATAAGGCCGGACTCGAACCCACGAACTGCTTGAGAGGCGGTAGCTGACACAATTAGGCTACCACGGGTTATGTCTATATAAATCAATATACATACATAACTATTAAAATTTTAAAAAACGTAAAGTATGATACTTGTAAGCTGATTTAATTAGAGTGAAATATAATGCGTATAATTATTGTTTTTTTTATGGTTCTAAGTGACGGGACGAACAAGCAGTGCGCCTGATGATAACCGGCACGCCTGTCCGTAACAGTTGCAGTGTCACACAGAGCTTTAAATCTCACAGATCTGAGAGGTACTACCACTGCGCTCGTCACCCTGAGACATAAGTTGACAAGTCCGATGTGCTTGTAATTTCACCAGCACCCTTATCCTTCAAAAGCGGAACGCAATAATGCTCATTTTACTGCTTGGCGGCAGAAATAGGTACGGTGGTAGTATTTCCCTGGACGAACTCTTTCACAAGGAGCTCTACTGCTGCTAAATTATATTGTATATTGACTTTAGGTTATCTAGAAAGTACAATCCCTAAGTTTTTTTGACTAATAATAATAATTATAATACTAATAGTAATAATGATAGAGATACGAAGCCATGTCCAATTATGTTAACAATCATTATTTGCATTTGGTTTGCATTAATATTAGACATAACTGGTTGAAGACTGTACCATCAGTCAACCGTGACCATGGGTCCTGTAAAGGGCCCGAAACGTCGGTTTGTTTGATAAAACAAATATACGCGATTTAAATCCGGAAAAATAGTTTCATTTCCAACAATCATTATTGCCAAACCTTTTTGTATAGGCAATTATAAATCTCGAAATTTTTGTCCTTTATATTTCATTATTGCCTTGTATTGCATATTTAATATCAATTGCTACTAATGCCTACATAAAATATTAATTAGTCTATTTAAATAATAATATAAAAATGTCCCCAAAATCATTCCCCACTATGTCCCAAGTTGCATAATCAAATCAGTTCTGTGCTTTAAATCAACATATTTAACAAAAATAACCTTTAAATTTTAAGCATTCGATCAAATAAAATATGTTTTTGGAAAATTAAAAATATCCTGTGGTAAAAACACGATAAATAAATTTAAAATATGTAATTATATATTATTCATGTCCCAACCAAAAAACCATTCCCTCACACTTTTACCTTCTCTCGATTTGTGAACGCATTTTTAATCTTTGGTAAATGCATTTTGTAAGTTTTTGTACGTTAGTAGCGCCAGAGCTGTAAACGTTTGAAAATGACGAAATTCAACTTGTATATGTAAAAAGTTTCTACTACGAAAAGATTTAATTTAAAATCCTGACACCCGTATTTATGAACAAAACAAATTCTTCACTAAAGTTAAATTTTTGACAGTCATTCCCTCACATCATATAAAAAGAAACTAAGCATTTGATTTTGTTTATTAATTATTCACTTAGACGAGTTATTGGTAACAATAAGCTTACACAAAATATTAAGTCTAAAAGTAAGTTCATATTGCTATTTTTTCTTAGTTTATTTTGATTTCGTCATTCCCTCACCCTCAAATGTTCTGACTGCCCTATACACTTTCTTAAAAGTCATTTATTTTGGGGACCACTATATCATCAAAAACTATTTACATAACTACTATGAAATTGACAAAAATAAATACAAATTCTTGCTAAAATTGTTCATAAAAATCGAAAGTTCGAATTTTGAAATTTATTTTTGTATGAAAGTAAATTCTGATAAATTTAAAATTTTTATTGAATTGATATTCAATTATTTTTTGTGAAATTACTCCACTAGTTTGTTATATTTATTAATACATTTACATTATATTACAATCTGATGAATTGTTAAAAGTCATGGAGCAAAAGGTGTTTGTGATATAATTCTGCGAGGTTGTTAGTATTTTACAAATAACCCTGTATATATGTATATAAATATATAATATATTCAATAAGTATTGTACACCAGTGCGTGTACGTACCGTCTTCTATGTGATTAATTCTTCTATTGAATGCGTTACCGGTGTTGTCAGCCTTTTTTCTCACACTTTTCGCATCAGTGATTGCTATTAATATAAAAACAACATTTAAAATATCTAAAAGGTTTCTATTCCTACTTCCCATTGTATGTATCTTTTCTATTTGAATTATAAATAACTTATGTCGATTTCTCTTGGTATTTACGTAATTAAAAATTTTGCAGAAATTAGATTTTTTAATGACCGGACGTGGATGTGATTGATTTTTGGCAATCATTTCAGAATTTCACATTTATTATATTAGCTGATAACATAAAATTTTATTAAGATTAATTGAATTGTTTTGCAGTTGAATCTGTTAATTAAAATTCCAAATACTTAACATTGTCTTTGTCCTTGACCACCTGAAATATACCTATTAATCTTATTAATCACGCATTATGCAAAAGCAGTAATTGAAAATTAGAAGTTAGTTTCCATAGTCAGGGTAGCTTAATGATTTGACCTACCGCTTCTTAAGCAGAAGGTCGTGGGTTCGATTCCGGGCTTGCACCTCTGAGTTTTCGGAATTGATATGCGAAACTTCAATTGAAATTTACCATGAGCCGAAAAGGTGACGTTAAACATCATGGAGAACACTCATTTGCAATAATCATGTGTGTGAAGCTCTCAATGCGCATTGGGAACCCCGCGTGGGAACTACATCCCAAGCTCGCTCATTGTGAGCTTGGGGTGTAGTATACAATGGCTTGGGCACATGAGCATACATGGGCCAACGATTATTTATTATTTGAAAAAGAGTTACTAGCTGGGGTACTGTTAACATTTACTTAGAAACTTAAATATTTGATGATCAAAGCGGAACTCCCGATGTTTAGTTTGCCAGTAGGTACAATTTTATATTCTTTCTCAAGCCCACAGAGTATTTTTTTTATGGGGCGAAATGGGGAAATCCGAAACCATGGAAAACTGTCTTAGGAACAATATTTTTTGTGAGAACAATTTTGGCACTGTCAAGCGTGAGTTGTCCGTAAAAAATGAATAAATTTGTTTAAATTTTTTTTAGTGCTGATCGACTCAGTTTCATGAATGGATCATTTCATTGTATGAGATGGTGGTCAAATTTAACAAAATGATTTTTCATACGGTCCCGTTTAAAAAATACTCTGTGTAAAATATTCCAGGGCATCAATCGAGTCAATCAAATTGTCTGTACAAAAATGTTAGGCAATAGTGATTGTTGACATAATTAGACGTATGGGTAAAATCTTTGAAAAAGAAATCGGCTTGTAGCCAGCATAGGGAATAATGGATTTGAAAGTCGGTTATGCAACAGTCTAAACGAACTTACCTCTTAATACTGTGTGGACTCGCCCAATTATTTTACCACAAAAGTAACAATTATTAGGATATCATATCAAACACGTTTTGTGAAGTACTGAAAAATCACGTTTTTTCAATTATTATTTTTTAACATTATTGGTTATTTGGTCAATTTCATAATTTAATAAATAAATAATTTAGTAAATTTATATGGATCATTTTACTTAATTTTAATACGTTAATCACATATATTAAAAAAAATACCCCGCTTCACTTTTGATGTGTGTACTTTCAATGAAAGTTACAAAATGATATATTGTGGTACTAGTTTCTTGTGTTACAGCAATAATTTAACAATATTGCAATAAATTAATGATAGTGACAAGTTTACACTGTTTACCCAGGCAACTTACTTTTCTCTTATAGATACAGCACATCAAGCTTGTCACTTTTACCTTTTCACCGTTCATATTGTAAGCGATATAGTGTTGAGTTTAAATGGTAAGGGTCGAACGTGACGTGCTCTTGACCGTATATAATTTATTTTTAGTATTTTAGTAGCAATACAGATTCTTGTGAAAGAGTTCGTTCAGGGAAGTACGGCGCGCCGTACCTATTTCTGCCGCCAAGAGTGGTGGTGAAGTTACACGTACATGGGACTTGTCAACGTATGTCTCAGGGTCGTGAGCGCAGTGGCAGTACCTCTCAGATCTTTGAGATTTAAAGCTCTGAGTGACACTGCAACTATTATGGACAGGCGTGTCGCTTACCATCAGGCGCACTACTTTTTCGTCACTCAGAATCTTAAAAAATAACACTAATTCTACGCATTATAATTCATTCAGCTTATGAAAAAGCGTTAAAAGTTGCAACGAATAAATCATAATTTACGTTTTTAAAATTTTAATACTTATGTATATTGATTTATACGTTAGG